TGGGTATCACAAGCCTGGAAGGCAGTGCCCGCCGACCTCATCAAGCATGCCTTCCTCACCTGTGGCATCAGCAACCAGCTTGACGGCAGTGAGGACGGACTCGCCATGGCGCACAGGCGGAGCCAGCTGACAGCTGAAGTGGATGTCGACGATGACATCATCGCTGATGGTTTTTTTGGCAACAACTGCCAGGAGCCCGAATCTGACGAGGAGGAGTAGGAGGGTTACTGTATGATCCATGTTACCGTAGGTAGAAGTACCCCGGCTAAACTTGTTAGGAGATCTAGCTTAATTTGATGTTGCTTAGAAAAAGTGACAATTTAGTAAATTCTTTTGTAATGCCTCCAATGAAAGGTTAAGGGATGCGCTTATAATAAGGATATAATTTTCAGGGGGTGCGCTTATAATCGAGTTCCAAGCGCCATGCTCCAGATAGAGGCGCCGGCGCCTTTAATCGGACGGCGCCTATATCCGGGGCCATACGGTATTGTGTCCCATGTGTTGGGTATGGCAGGGACCCGTCGAAGAATCCAAGAATTTGCACGCCCTCCATCGTCAGCTCGAACTCGAATGACCATGTATAGAAGTCTCTCCCATCGAAAGGCGTTGACGTTTGCAGTTTTAAGACATGTGCGAATTGTGACTGTATCTGAAGCGCGTCCAGTGTCTTCTCTTCTCCAGGTGAAGGTTGGTGTGGCATGAAGCTGATGGAGCCGCGTTGGGGCTCGTATGGAGCGAAAGTAGGTTGTTGCTAGTTTCGGCGCGCGTAGGATGAGCCGTCGAGACTCATGGGTGTGACATCGTTGTTGTTGTTGCTGTTGTTTGATTGCGCATGTGTTGTTTGCTGGTGTTGCTCGTAGAAGGACATGAAGGAGAAAAATTTCTCCATCATGCTTAGGTCGAAGCCTGTTGTTTGATTCGCGGGAGTTTCGGTAGACTCCACAGCTGGTCTTGTTGCTGTGCCTTCCTCTGTCTGTAGGCCAGAGGCTGGAGGTGGAGTAGGAGTAGTGCCGGGAGATCCGTTGGAGGAACTCATCTCCTTCTGAGTTGCCATGCCTTGTGCTGTTGTAGGAGTTTGAGTAGTTGATCTTGCCTTGGAGGCTCTCATACCATGTTGGGCTGAGAAAAGGCCCTTAGGATCTTTTCAAGGCTAAGACTTTGGGTAGAGATGTTGTAATTGCGGAAGCGTATAGTAAACTTGTTGAACCACCTTGCACTAGTGTGTGAGAGCAAGAGATTGATTAAAGCAAAGAGATACAGGGATATATATATATGATTACAAGGAATACGAAGAGGTGCAACTAACTGTTTTGCTGTTGTGGTTCGATACAGTAACGACTCGGGCAACTGCTCAATACCGAGTCAGTTGTTTGTCCTTGCTGTCGCGCTGTATTTTCGTCGAGTCAAAGGTCGCTGACCTTTGACCTTCGCATAACCTCCAGCTGTTACGTTTTGTTATCCTCCTTGGTTGACTCGCTTGTTGCTTCACTGTAGTCTGCTTCGTTCGTGTTATTACTTCGATACTTCAGAAGCGCCAACTATGTGTTTCCAACAGGGGACAAGGAGAGTGCAGCAGAAGCTGACTCTGTTTTTGGACTAGCTGGAGACATTGAAAAGGGGTCGCATGTGTAAGCATTTTTTAGTAACTCGACACGGGAGAGGGGGGTTGGGCGGGGCGCAGGGGGTTAGTGTAAACGTTTTGATGCCATATTACCGACGACGGATGTTCAAGAACTTGTAATGTTTATCGCAGTCAAGCATGGTATTTGCTTTACACACGGATTGGAATGTGGAGAGTGCAGAAGAGGCAGATCAGAATTATTCGGCGTGCAGCTTAGGGCGACGTCAGGTTGTACATTTCTCACACGTTGACAATTCTTGAATCGTGGCCTTGGACGGTTCAATACGGTGGAAAGAGGTTCGCAAGGTTTCATCGTTTTGCACCGTGACGAAACGAAGTTGACCGCAGTGAGAGTGCAGAAAGATGTACAACCTGACCTCGCCCTTAAATCGGAACTTCCCGCGTTCACCTCGGTCTGACACAACCAGACTCGAGGGTGAGCTGCTGGCCAATGAGGGTGAGCTGAGCACTGATGAATTCCAACAATAGAGAGTCGACTATACCAAGTTTTTTTTTCTGGTGACGTTCGGCATTTGTCCTAGCCATCACTGACTCTTAACCTTAGCCATTTTCATGCACGTCCCGCACGTGTCAGCACTCGTCACGCACGCGTCATTACGTGTCAGCAGCCGAGCTGCTGAAATGGCGGCTGTGTGTCATTTCCTCTCCGCGATCCCTGGCTCGTCTAGACGAATCGTCAGCAGCAATTTGTTTGAGTTCGCAGCTCTCCGCCATTGTCGGCCAATCCCCGCTCGAGACGCTGCACGGGTCGCGAAAGCTCGTCCTTGGGAATGCCTCGAACAGGCAATTCGTTTCAAAGTGACCTCGTCGTTAGCGCAGGTCCGGGCAGCCGGAAATATATCATGTTCAGAGGAGCTGACCGTACAGGTGGGTAGCACAGGCGGTTTCATTTGTCTGTTTCCGAGGTTCAGTTTCGCCTCATCCTTTCGTATTCTCTGTTTGACACGTGGCCCTCGCATTCTCAACGGCTCGTGTTTTTTCTTTCTTTCTTTCTTTCTTTCTTTCTTCTTCTTCTTCTTCTTTTTCTTCATGAATCGTGTCGTTCGATCACGCAATTCCAGGATGACACGTGGCAAGCGCTGAAGCGGCTCACATTGGGGGACGGCGCGGAGAGTTGCCCAGTAGAAGTGCGCGATGGGGGGAAGACTGGCGGAGGGCGGTAAGCTGGGGGGGGGAAGGGGGGGGGGGGGAGGGGAAGTGTTTTTTGAGTCGACTCAGAAGTCGTTGCCTCACTGGGGGACGGCGCGGAGAGTTGCCCAGTAGAAGTGCGCGATGGGGGGAAGACTGGCGGAGGGCGGTAAGCGCAGGGAGGAGGGAGAGGAGTAGGGGTAGGGGGAGGGGTGGGTGGGGGGAAGGATAGGGGGAGGGATGGGGGGCGGGATGGGGAGAATGAAGAACTCACTTCTCTTTTTCCCGCCATCTCGTCTATCTCTTCTCCATATCTTCCCACTATTTCATGCAGCACCAATGAAAGCTCTTTTTCTTCCCCTGCCTTCCTCACAATCGCCCCTCCCTGCCCCCGGTCACTCCCCCCTCCACCTCCCTATCCTCCACTCGTCCTCTCCCGCTCTCTCCCCTCCTCTTTCTCCGATTTTCTCGTTCACTCCCTCCCTCCCTACCTGTCTCTGTTTCCATTTCTCTGCAGCGGCCTGTATGCCATTCAGCCAATAGAGAAAGGACACGTGTTCCTCACTGTACACAAGGATCAGGTCAGCTGTGCTCTTTTCTCTTGATAATCTCTCATGATTTTCTCCACTAACGCCATATCCAACGTATCATGACTATCGTTGACACTGTTATTATTGCCACTAGTACAATTGTTATTGTTATTTCAATTTAATCATCTGTCATGTTTTCAACCCCTCATCTATTCATATCCCTCTCTGTTCTCTGCCTTCTGTCTTCTCTCTCCTTCCCTTGATTCTCGTCTTTCTCATCGCGTCCGGAATGCTCCTGCATCCCTTACCGTTGACAAAAGCAAGCACTCATGTGCCTTGCCTCGCTTCTGCTCTCATCCCCCTCTCCAGTCTCCTCCTGTTCTTTCAATTTCCGATAAGATTTTCCCGGTGCAAATTCCCTCCCCCGCCCTCCAACCACCCCATCACCCCTCTTTCCATCAGATGATAACAGGTGACTCTCTTCCCCCTCCCCTCGCTTCCCTCCTCCCTCCCTCATTCTCCGTGTGGGCTCGCATCGCTCTCTTCCTCCTCCTTCACCACTCCCCTTCCGCCTCCTCCTCCCCCTCACCCTCTCTCTCCGCATCCCCCTCCCCCTATCAATCCGTCCAATCCCCAGCCCTTGGTTCTGTCTCCTCTCTCTCCACCGCGCCTGCCACTGCTACCCGCCCTTCATCCCCTCCTCCTGCCGCGGCCCTTCCCCTTCCCAATCACCACCACCACCACCAGCACGAGCGCTGGCAGCCATACATCTCGTCCCTCCCTTCATTCAAGGCTGTTGATTCCACAGTCAGTGCTCGCAAGCTCCTAGCTAGCTCTGTGTGTCTGTTGAGTCAAGTAATATGTCTACCGTCTTTGTGGTATACACTGTAACGTAACATGCGTACAAGTGGAGACTCAATTGCGCACAGCTGGAAAAGAACACAAGATGTTACTTACTCTCTTTCTCACCCCCCCCTTCCCCGCTCCTGCCTTGCCCCCTACATAAACTCTTTTCTTCCCCTCCTTGCATCTTACAGGTGTTGTGGCATGTGAAATCCTTCCCCTTCCCTGAATGACGTTTCTTCCTCTCGTTCCCCTCCTTCTCCCTCCTTCCACCCCTCGACTCCCTTGCTAGCAGGTGTGCTACGAGGAGCACAAAAGGGTGAAGCTGCCGCGTATCTTTTAGGCGCCAAAACCCACCAATCCACTCCACTCCCACCAATCCACTCCACTGCCACCAATCCCCACCCGTCGATCAGGTGTGGTGGGGGGAGCTCGAGAGAAGCATGCTGCTCCCATCTCTGTACAACGACACATGTGATCGAACGGCTCTCATTCAATCTGAGTTCGCCACCATCCAAACGGTAACACATTGCTGATTGCCCTTGTTTGGTATCTTGGGACGTCTCAAGGATCGAACGGCTCTCATTAAATCCGAGTTTTCCACCATCCAATCGGTAACACAGTGCTGATTTCCCTTGCCGGCTTGCTCTGCGGGCTTGCCCTTGCTTGTATGCTCACAGTAGCATATCGCTCACACTTCTCTCGCCTCCCTCCCCCCCTTCCCCTTCCTATTGCTTGACCCCCACTTGCTGCCCACCCCTTACTGTCCCCCCCTTCTTTCAAACCTTTGCTTTCTCCTCACGCCTTCCCCCGTTCCCTCCTTTTCTCCCCTTCTCTTCCCCTATTCCCTCCTCCAGACACTCACCGATCACCCACACCTGCGCTCGTTCCTCCCGAACCTGACCTACGACCAGTTCTGCCATGCCTACTTGCTAGGTACGGCATGTGAACTATTCTCCCAAGCCTACTCGCTAGGTGCGGGATGTGGACTATTCGGCCAAGCCTACTCGCTAGGCACGGGATGTGGTTTCAGCCATGCCCTGCAGACTGGGGCAGGCGCTGAGTCGAACCTGGCTTCACTGGGGTTCCCTGGGGTTCACTGGGGCAGGCTGAGGCAGCTTTCATATTTCAGTGCGAGATAAGGCGAATATGCTGGTTCACTAGGTATGGAATTGATTATGTTTCCTTTTCGCCCTATAACTATCCTCCAATCCCACCCAATCCCCTCCTCCATTCCCTCTCTCACCTCCCTCCTCTGTTCTCTCTCGCTCACCTCCCTCCTCTGCTCTCCTTCCCTCCCCGCCTGCCACAGCACAGTGTGCTCACGGGCGTGGGGGATCGAAGCGTCTTAGTGCCCTCCCACCTCCACTCTCTCTCCCTCACTCATGTCCCTCCCCTCCCCTCATTTCCCCCTCCCCGCCTGCCACAGCACAGTGTGCTCACGGGCGTGGGGGATCGAAGCTTTGGGCAATCTGGCCCTGGTGAGTGACTGTCGGTTGCAAATACAGTGTGTATATTGTTTCATAAATCTTCACAAGTACCCTGCAGATTTCATGAGCATGGGGGATCGAAGCTTTGGGCAATTTGGCTCTGGTGAGTGATGGCTTGCTGCTGTTACAGGGTCTTTTATATATATTTACACTTGAGAGTACCCTGAACAGTTTGCAGGTGTGGGGGATCGAAGCTTTGGGCAATTTGGCTCTGGTGAGTGATGGCTCGTTGCTGTTACAGGGTGTTTTCTTTCTTTCTTTATTTCTGTTTTATTATACCCTCCAAGTTTTCCAATTTGGGGAACCTCATATGCAGACACGGTCGACAACGACCCCCCACACACACTCTCTCCTCCCTCACCATCCCTCACCACCCCTCACCACCCCTCGCCACCCCTCACCACCCTTTGCCACCCCTGGCCACCTCCCTGCACCCCTCATCACTCCCCACCACCACCCAGGTGCCATATGCGGACATGATAAACCACAACCCCCACACGCACACTCTGCTGTGCTACGACGAGGAGCAACAAGCAGTCGAGGTGGGGGTTGCCCTCCTCACCCGCACTCACCACCCCCACACACACTCTTCTGCCCTCACCACCCCTCCCCACCCTTCACAACCCCCACACGCACACTCTGCTGTGCTATGATGAAGAGCAACAAGCCGTCGAGGTGCCCTCCTCGCCCCCTAATACCTCCTCGCCCCCTATCACCTGCCATCTGCTGCTCGCCTTTCTCTTCTGTTGCAACCTCCTAACTGCATTGGTGTTGAAACTTCTCTCAGTCTCAGCTCCCTCTTGCATAATGCATCACATTCAATCCACATTTTTCCAGCCTCTCAACCCTTAACCTTAAGCACCCACCCCCTCTCACTCTGCCTGTCTTTCTGAATCCATTCCTGAACCATTTTTCCTGCCCGCCTTTTTTTTCAGATCATAGCGGACAGAGACTACGAACCAGGGGAGCAGGTGATAAGCAGTGCAGGTGATAAGCAGTGCAGGTGATAAGCAGTGCAGGTGATAAGCGGTGCAGGTGATAAGCGGTGCAGGTGATAAGCAGTGCAGGTGATAAGCAGTGCAGGTGATAAGCAGTGCAGGTGATAAGCGGTGCAGGTGATAAGCGGTGCAGGTGATAAGCAGTGCAGGTGATAAGCAGTGCAGGTGATAAGCAGTGCAGGTAATAAGCAGTGCAAGTAATAAGCAGTGCAGGTGATAAGCAGTGCAGGTGATGAGCAGTGCAGGTGATTGGCAGTGCAGGTGATAAGCAGTGCAGGTGATAAGCAGTGCAGGTGATCAGCAGTGCAGGTGATCAGCAGTGCAGGTGATCAGCAGTTCAGGTGATAAGCAGTGCTTGTGATAAGCAGCACAGGTGATAGGCAGTGCAGGTGATAAGCAGTGCAGGTGATAAGCAGTGCAGGTGATCAGCAGTGCAGGTGATCAGCAGTTCGGGTGATAAGCAGTGCTTGTGATAAGCAGCACAGGTGATAAGCAGTGCAGGTGATAAGCAGTGCAGGTGAAAAGTGGTGCAGGTGATAAGCGGCACAGGTGATAAGCAGTGCAGGTGAGAAGCAGTGCAGGTGATAAGCGGTGCAGGTGATGAGCGGTGCAGGTGATGAGCGGTGCAGGTGATAAGCAGTGCAGGTGATAAGCAGTGCAGGTGATGAGCGGTGCAGATGATAAGCAGTGCAGGTGATAAGCATTGCAGGTAATAAGCAGTGCAAGTAATAAGCAGTGCAGGTGATAAGCAGTGCAGGTGATAAGCAGTGCAAGTAATAAGCAGTGCAGGTGATAAGCAGTGCAGGTGATAAGCAGTGCAGGTGATAAGCAGTGCAGGTGATAAGCGGTGCAGGTGATAAGCGGTGCAGGTGATAAGCAGTGCAGGTGATAAGCAGTGCAGGTGATAAGCGGTGCAGGTGATAAGCGGTGCAGGTGATAAGCAGTGCAGGTGATGAGCAGTGCAGGTGATTGGCAGTGCAGGTGATAAGCAGTGCAGGTGATAAGCAGTGCAGGTGATAAGCAGTGCAGGTGATAAGCGGTGCAGGTGATAAGCGGTGCAGGTGATAAGCAGTGCAGGTGATAAGCAGTGCAGGTGATAAGCAGTGCAGGTAATAAGCAGTGCAAGTAATAAGCAGTGCAGGTGATAAGCAGTGCAGGTGATGAGCAGTGCAGGTGATTGGCAGTGCAGGTGATAAGCAGTGCAGGTGATAAGCAGTGCAGGTGATCAGCAGTGCAGGTGATCAGCAGTTCGGGTGATAAGCAGTGCTTGTGATAAGCAGCACAGGTGATAAGCAGTGCAGGTGATAACCAGTGCAGGTGAAAAGTGGTGCAGGTGATAAGCGGCGCAGGTGATAAGCAGTGCAGGTGAGAAGCAGTGCAGGTGATAAGCAGTGCAGGTGATGAGCGGTGCAGGTGATGAGCGGTGCAGGTGATAAACAGTGCAGGTGATAAGCAGTGCAGGTGATGAGCGGTGCAGGTGATAAGCAGTGCAGGTGATAAGCATTGCAGGTAATAAGCAGTGCAAGTAATAAGCAGTGCAGGTGATAAGCAGTGCAGGTGATAAGCAGTGCAAGTAATAAGCAGTGCAGGTGATAAGCAGTGCAGGTGATAAGCGGTGCAGGTGATAAGCAGTGCAGGTGATAAGCGGTGCAGGTGATAAGCGGTGCAGGTGATAAGCAGTGCAGGTGATAAGCAGTGCAGGTGATAAGCGGTGCAGGTGATAAGCGGTGCAGGTGATAAGCAGTGCAGGTGATGAGCAGTGCAGGTGATTGGCAGTGCAGGTGATAAGCAGTGCAGGTGATAAGCAGTGCAGGTGATCAGCAGTGCAGGTGATCAGCAGTTCAGGTGATAAGCAGTGCTTGTGATAAGCAGCACAGGTGATAAGCAGTGCAGGTGATAAGCAGTGCAGGTGATAAGCGGTGCAGGTGATAAGCGGCGCAGGTGATAAGCAGCGCAGGTGATAAGCAGTGCAGGTGATAAGCAGTGCAGGTGATGAGCGGTGCAGGTGATGAGCGGAGCAGGTGATAAGCAGTGCAGGTGATAAGCAGTGCAGGTGATAAGCAGTGCAGGTGATGAGCGGTGCAGGTGATAAGCAGTGCAGGTGATAAGCAGTGCAGGTGATAAGCAGTGCAGGTAATAAGCAGTGCAAGTAATAACCAGTGCAGGTGATAAGCAGTGCAGGTGATAAGCAGTGCAAGTAATATGCAGTGCAGGTGATAAGCAGTGCAGGTGATAAGCAGTGCAGGTAATAAGTAAATGATGTGAAGATTTTTTTGTATGGTGTGGGTTTGATGATTTAGTCAGTGAATGTTTGAGAAATTCTGGGATGTTCTGTGTGTGTGTCTCATGGTACATGTATGCATGTGCATGCTCTCATACTAGGATTTGCCCCCCAACCTCTTTCGCTGCCCTCCCCCTCCGCCCTCTCAATGCCCATCCCATCGCAACCAGGAGCAAGCGAGCTATGGTGATCTGCCCATCTTTGTTGCCTTTTGACTGTGCGGATCACATGCCTCACCTCCTCCTCCCGCCGCTCATCCCTCCCCTGCCCACGTGCCTTCTGCCTTCCTCCTCCTCTGCCTGCCCTCTGCCCTCTGCCCTCTGCCCTCCACCCTCCACCACCCCCATCCCCATCCCCATCCCCGTCCCCATCCCCATCCCCATCCCCATCCCCATCCCCATCCCCATCGATTCCACCACCCAGGTGCTAGTGAGCTATGGTGATTTGTCCAGCAGTGTGTTGGCGCTTGATTTAAAAACAGCCCCCCAACCCTCCTGTATCCTCCGCCCTCCGCCCTCCGCCCTCCGCCCTCCGCCCTCCACCCTCCGCCTTGTGCCATCCCATCCCATCCAGGTGCGAGTGAGCTACAGTAACCTCTCCTCCCCAGCGGTGTGCTTGCGCTTGACTTGAGAGCAGCCCTCACCCCTTCTTTACCCACCGCACCGCTACAGTGAGGATGTGAACTCTCCACCTCCACACCGCACTCCCCCGCCCCACCCCATCATCCATCCCATCCCACACAGGTCCTAGTGAGCTACGGCAATCTCTCCAGCGGTGTCTTGGCGCTTGACTTTGGCTTCACTGTGCCCGACAACCCGCATGACTCTGTGAGCGCCGCATGACTCTGTGAGCGCCGCATGACCCTTCCCTGCTGTCACCTGTCCAGTCGACTCAAGAATCTCCGGTGGAGTGCTGGCGCTTCACTTTGGCTTCACTGTGCCCGACAACCCGCACAACTCTGTGAGTTAGGCATGACATGACACTTCCTTATTACCACCCAGGTACTTTGTGCTTATAGCGAGCACTAGCTCTCAAAACATTTGTTCCTGACTGGCTGTGGCTGTCTTGCCGCTTGCATCGCTATTCCTCATCTGCTCTCTTGCCTCTCCCAAATGATCCGCCAAACTCTTCATCATGGGTTGGAGATTTCGGGTGGTCGGATTCAGGTTTGAGGTAGAACTCCCATGAGACACTCAGCATCCATGAGACTCTCAGCATCCATAACATTGAGCTCAAACGAGACTCTCACCATTGCTGCCCCAGCCCGTGTGTGATGAAGCGATCTTCGGGTTGACTCAAAAATCACTCCCATGCGATTCGCAGCTTCCATGAGGTTGAGAGTTCACATCCTCACCGTAGCTGTCCCAGCCTCATTCCCGCCCTCTTTCCCAAGCAGGTTGACCTGTGTGTGCTTGTAACGAGCAGCACCACTCCCCACGATGCACAGCTCAACGAGGCGAAGAGGCGGCTTCTGGTGGAGGCGCAGCCGCTGCCGTGTGACTCTACCAGTGGCACTTTCTGCCGAGGTTTGCGTGTTGAGGCGCCTCCAAAGACACAGCCTGTTCATCTGTCCCCCTTCCCGAGCAGGTGGAGCTGTGTGTGCTTATTACGAGCAGCAGCACCCCCCATGATGCACAACTCAACGAGGCCAAGAGGCGGCTTCTGGTGGAGGCGCAGCTGCTGCCGTGTGACTCTGCCGGTGGTGCCTGCTTTGTGCTCAAGTGAGTGAGTGTGTGAGTGAGTGAGTGAGTGAGTGAGTGAGTGAGTGAGTGAGTGAGTGTGTGAAGCAGCGCAAGCTGTTGCTGTCTTTATAACAGTCGTTGCCGACTCAAAGGTCTCTTCTGGTGGAGGCGCAGCTGCTGACTTGTGTTTGTTAGTGGTACCGTACCCGCTTTGTGCTCAAGTGAGTGGATCAAGCAGAAGCAGTTGCTGTTGTATGAATACCAGTCGTTGCCCGTCTGTGTCAGAAGCCAAGCCATTACTGTATAGGGAGTCAACTAAAGGGGGGAGGCGTGTCTGCTGCCGTGTGACTCTGCCATTGGTGCCTGCCTTCTGCTCAAGTGAGTGCGAGTGTGAGTGTGCGAGTATGAGTTTGAGGGTGAGTTTGTGAGTGTGAGTCCGAGTGTCAGGATGGCCGAGTTGGTCTAAGGCGCCAGTTTCAGGTACTGTTCCGAAAGGGCGTGGGTTCAAATCCCACTCCTGACATGGTAGCCCAAACTTTTTCACTCGTGCTTGCCCTTTCTTATTCTTCATCCATTCTACCCTTGCGAGTGCGAGTGTGAGTACGATTAAGTGCTGCAAGGGGAGCCGTTGTTTCCTGTGTAGCAGTAGCTGTTGTTTGCACCAAAACGGCCATTCTGAGTCGAGTTGACTCAGGGGTCACTTCTGGTGGAGGCGCAGCTGCTGCCGTGTGACTCTGCCAGTGGCGCATGCTGTGTGCTCAGGTGAGTGTGAGTAGGTGTGTGAGTGTGGGTGTGGGTGTGTGAGTGTGGGTGTGTGAGTGTGGGTGTGGGTGTGTGAGTGTGGGTGTGGGTGTGTGAGTGTGGGTGTGGGTGTGTGAGTGTGGGTGTGGGTGTGTGAGTGTGGGTGTGGGTGTGTGAGTGTGGGTGTGGGTGTGTGAGTGTGGGTGTGGGTGTGTGAGTGTGGGTGTGGGTGTGTGAGTGTGGGTGTGGGTGTGTGAGTGTGGGTGTGGGTGTGTGGGTGTGGGTGTGTGGGTGTGTGAGTGTGGGTGTGGGTGTGTGAGTGTGGGTGTGGGTGTGTGAGTGTGGGTGTGGGTGTGTGAGTGTGGGTGTGGGTGTGTGAGTGTGGGTGTGGGTGAGTGAGTGTGGGTGTGTGAGTGTGGGTGTGTGAGTGTGGGTGTGTGAGTGTGGGTGTGGGTGTGTGAGTGTGGGTGTGGGTGTGTGAGTGTGGGTGTGTGAGTGTGGGTGTGGGTGTGTGAGTGTGGGTGTGTGAGTGTGGGTGTGTGGGTGTGGGTGTGTGAGTGTGGGTGTATAACCTCGGTTGTGACTCCACCAGCGGCAGCGCTTCCTGTGCGCAAGTGAATGTTCATTGAGGATTCATCACCTGACCTGACTCTGAATGCCTCCCGCCTGTCCTTCCTCCCTCTCACCCACCAGGCGCATCGACACACCTGCCTCGGATGGGAGGGGCTTGCCCTTTGCCCTGTGAGCCATGGCGCGTATCCTCACAGCTGCCAGTGACGAGCAGGTGAGAAGCGAAGGGTTTACAGCAGGTTTACAGCAGGTTTCCAGTGGGTTACCAGTGGGTGACCAGTGGGTTACCAGTGGGTTACCAGTGGGTTACCAGTGGGTTACCAGTGGGTTACCAGTGGGTTACCAGTGGGTTACCAGTGGGTTACCAGTGGGTTACCAGTGGGTTACCAGTGGGTTACCAGTGGGTTACCAGTGGGTTACCAGTGGGTTACCAGTGGGTTACCAGTGGGTTACCAATGGGTTACCAGTGGGTTACCATGTATCTATAGCACCACGGTGCAGCATCAGATGGGAGGGGCTTGCCCTTTGCTCTGCGAGTCATGGCGCGGATTCTCACAGCTGGCAACGACAAGCAGGTGAGAAGAGATGGGTTACCAATGGGTTACCAATGGGTTACCAGTGGGTTACCAATGGGTTACCAGAGTATGGCCTTGTCACGGTAACACCTTGGTGCGGCATCGGATGGGAGGGGCGTGCCCTCGGCCCTGCGATCAATGGCACAGATCAATGGCGCAGATCAATGGCGCAGATCAATGGCTCAGATCAATGGCACAGATCAATGGCGCAGATCAATGGCGCAGATCAATGGCGCAGATCAATGGCGCAGATCAATGGCGCAGATCAATGGCGCAGATCAATGGCGCAGATCAATGGCACAGATCAATGGCACAGATCAATGGCCCAGATCAATGGCGCAGATCAATGGCGCAGATCAATGGCACAGATCAATGGCACAGAACAATGGCGCAGATCAATGGCGCAGATCAATGGCACAGATCAATGGCACAGAACAATGGCGCAGATCAATGGCACAGATCCTCACAGCCGGCAGCGATGAGCAGGTGAGAAGCGGCTTTTTAGGAAGAGAGGTAAAAGAGAATGCGCCTAAGTCACGGTGCACGGTGAGCAGTGGTGAACATGTCTGTGATGATTGCCATGTCATCATTGCCATGTCTTACCTGCCACAACACGGCCTTCATGTAATCACTACCATGTAACGAAGGGGTGGGCATAACCACCTGCAACAACCATCCGTCATAGCTGCCCATCATGTTGAATCCGATCCCTCCACTCCTGAGTCGACTCAAGGGTCACCTCGTGGACATAACCACCTGCAACAACCATCCGCCATAGCTGCCCATCATGTTGAATCCGATCCCTCCACTCCGGCCCCCCTCCTCTTTTTCCACCTATCCCCCTCTCCCCCCCCTCTCTCCCCTCCTTGGACCCCTTTCTTCCCCAGCTGCAATTTCTGCGAGAAGAGGGGCGGCAGCACAGTGGCACAGTCGGGAGACGACCAATCAGAGCGCAGGGAGGCGGCGGAAGGGGAAGAGGAGGGGGAGGAGGGGAGGTGGGTGGAGTGGAGGGGTGGGAGGGCAGGGCGATGGAGGTGCTGTTATCACTGGTGGAAGAGAGGATAGAGCACTTGATGGATGCACGACAGGTGAGGGGTCTAGTTTTGAGGCGCCTCAAAACTGAAGGTGGGTGGGATGGAGGGGTGGGAGGGCAGAGCGATGGAGCTGCTGTTATCACTGGTGGAAGAGAGGATAGAGCACTTGATGGACGCACGACAGGTGAGACATGAGGGGTGCAGATGGGTGCAGAGGAATGCAGAGGGGTGCATAGGGGTGCACTGAATAGAGAGAGAGTAGAGCACATGATGGTCAGGCAACACATGTGATGCTGGAATGCCGGGGTCGTTGTGTGGCTACTGCTGTTGCTGGTGGAAGAGAGAGTAGAGCAGTCCATGGATGCATGCTGCATGTCATAGGAAATGTTTTGAGTCGACTCAAAGCACGGCTCAAAACATGCTGCAGGTCATAGAAAGTGTATTGAGTCGACTCAAAGCATGGTTCAAAACATGCTGCAGGTCATAGAAAGTAGTCGCATGCTGAAGAAATGTTGTCGACCACATTTTTACATTCTCACATTCATTATTGCTGATCATCAGAGGCTCAAATCACCCACTATCGTTGCGAAAATAAAAGGCAAACATTATGGTATGGGAATTTCTGTTGCTGGATGTGAAGGAATCGGCATCTCGTGTGGAAGAAAGCAGGCTAGTTACGGCCATGCAAATCATTGACTGCCATTTGGCGGTCTTGCGTTCCGTGGCGGCATGGCTGAGGCCTCGAGCTTCTGGGGGTGGTTTAGAGAGTGTGTTCGCCAATCCAGAAGCTCGACAGGGTTGGAATTCTTTTAGATGAGGCGGGTTTTCGACAGTCTTGCTTTAGTTGGATTTGTCATATGTGTTGCTTGTAAGAAATGCTTGTTGCGTTCAACTTGAGGTCATGAAGTGTAGAATGTATCTGAATTGAGGATACTATATGAGCGCGTACATTCTCCATTTTTTAGCCACGTCATTCCCCCACGTTTACCTCCATTGGCTCCCTTCCTCCCGCCGATTCCTGCCCCTCTCCCCACCCACCTCCTGCGCACGCCGCCCTCCCCCACCACCCCCCCTTCCCACCACTCCCCCCTCCTTTCCCACCACTCCCCCTTCCCTTCCCTCCAGGTCCACCAATGGTGAATCTCCGCAGAAGGTACGAATTCCCCCTTGGGCCAAGAACTGGAGCAGGTTCCATTTCCTGTCGGTGCCATCCTCCGTCCGAATGGACGGACAGGATTCACTCAGAGACCTCGAGGAACCGAATCTCATGCTTGACAGGGGAAGGTAAATCTGCGGGATGTCTTGTCTTCTTCAACTCCCTTCTGTTGCTGGGGCAGGTCCTCCTATTCCCCTCAATGAAAGCGGTTAACTACGATTTTGTGCACTATAAAGCGGTTTTCTAGCTTCACCTCTTCGAACCGTTACTTACCAGCCTGAACATTGTTACATAAGCTGTAAACTATGGCTGACCCAGCCTTATCTTCTCACACACCATGCTCTCTAGGTCGCGTCGCGTCGCCGCCACCCGCCCTCCCTCCTCTTTTCTTGCTGCGTTGGACACAAGTCAGTTACGTTTATAGGAAGAAAATGTAAAACATGAATCATTTCGCGAAGCATGGCATGAGGCAGCGAGTATTCCGGAACGATGCGACGGTGGCGTGGCGCGTGGACGGAAGTTCGTCGGCACATGCAGCCAGCGAGGGTTGAGTTGACCTTGAAAAGGAAGGACGGAATCAAGGGCAGCATGGGATGGGATCGGGATGGGATGGGTGGGTTCATTCGTTCATCCTTTCAGGAATGCTTCTGCTCTGCGTTGCCTGGGCCCTGCGTGTGTCACGCACAATCACACCACACCCCAAGCTGGGGAAACGTACAGAACCGTACGAAACGGCACGGTATACATCCCTGCTCGTCCACCCTCTCCGCTCTGATATGCAAGCGCGAACGAGAAACCGCAACTCACCTCTCATCACACCACGGGACGAAACTGGTTCGTTCGAACCAGCTTGTGGGGACGGCTTTCTGGCTTGCATCGCTGCTCGACGTGGCTGGCGACAGCCTCTGTCCGTCGTACGATTCCTCGTAGGGCACCGAATGTCGGCGCGCGAGCTCAGAGCAACTCAGTACAGTTTCATCCCATCAAATGCCTCCACCTAGGCCGGTTCAATCCAGGCAGAAGCTTCAAAGCTATTGCTTGCAGCGAAGACACGCGACGCGACGCGACGCGACGCGACACCCTGTCCATGAAGTCATGCTGCTCCCGTTACCTCGCCATCTAGTGCACCTATCCGGCTGCGCCTACTCCGCTAGTTACAACTCGGACTTATAAGACAGTTTACTGCGACGCTAGAGCTCTAAGCTCAATCAGGCAGCCTCCGTCCGTGCGACTCTAGTCACGATCGCCGCTGCGTCTTCGGCGATTTCCGAAGCGGGTATCCTCCGCCTCCATCGCTGCGACACCATCATCCCGACAGCCGCCATGGCTGCCTCCGTCTCGTCGCCCCCCTCGAGGCGGCGCCTCCCTTTCCGAAAACCGCCGCTCCCGGCGCTCCTGGCGCTCATGCTCCTCCTCGCGAGCCTCTTCGCGGCGCATCTCGCGCCTCTCGCAGCAGCTGAACGGCCGTTTCCCGAACCTTCTGCTGTAGTCACATCTGCCGACTCGCTAAGCTCTTCCTCCGCAGTCCCCGTTACAAGCACGTCGTCGTTTGTCACGCACGTGCGGCGGCAGCTGCTGTTCGAACGGTACAGCTGCGGCCGCTCGCCGCTCAAGGGATACACGTCATCCAAGCGCCTCGCCTCTGGGTGAGCAATCCATTCTAGAGTTGCCTCATAAATGGAATCCTCACAAGTGGTTCATATGTAGGTGCTCGAACTGCGGCCGCTCGCCGCTCGAGATCAAAGAAGTGTTTTGAGACGTCCAAAACACTTCTTTTGTCACGAGGATAAATGAACTCCTCACAAACGGTTCATATGTAGGAGCTCGAACTGCGGCCGCTCGCCGCTCAAGCGGGTACCACATGTCGCCGAAGCGACTCGCCTTTGGGTCAGAACTTTTCTCTTTTGAAAAGCAAACTCTTGCTTTTGATAAGCAAACTCTTGCTTTTGATAAGCAAACTCTTGCTCATAACATCTCCTCATCTCCTCCTCATCTCCTCCTCATCTCCCTTGCTTTCCTTCCAGCCTTGTTCTCCATCGGAAGGCCACGCGCGCACAGCGGAAGTTTTTGTAGTGGCTTCTAGAATGGCTGCAGTTGGAGAAGAGGGGGCGCGGACGGGGGTGTCGCGGTGGGGTTATCACCCTAGGGGCTTAAAATATCTTTCTCTCTCTGCATTCCCCTCTCTCAATCTCTGTCCTTCCAGCCTCCTCCTCCACCGGAAGGCCTCAGGAACGGCTGCAGGAGGGTGGTTTGTCGTGGGGTGGTCACCCGAGGGGCTCAAGAAACATCCTTTCTCTCTCCGTCCCCCTTCTTGTTCCCCCACCATCCCATCTCCCTTTTCCTTCCCTCCAGCCTCGTTCTCCACTGGAAGGCCACGAGCGGGCGCAAGATCAAAGCCGCTGTGGTGGCCTCGGGAGCGGCTCCAGGGGGGTTGGTCCGCTGTGGGGTGGTTTCAAGAGGCTCAAGAAACATCCTTTCTTTCTCCTTCCCCCTACTTGTCCCCAAACCCATACCATCTTTCTCGCTGTCCGGCCAGCCTCGTTCTCCACTGGAAGGCCACGAGCGGGCGCAAGATCAAAGCCGCTGTGGTGGCTTCAGGAGCGGCTGCAGGGGGGTGGTTCGCCATGGGGTGGTCTCCCAAGGGGAAGATGGGCGGCAGCAACGCGGTGGCCATGGAGGATAGCAATAACCCTCCTGGCACGTACGACCTCCAAGGGACGTCTGCCGCGAACGCTGCGTCGTGGACCGTCGGATCGCCGTCGATCTCGAGTGCTGGCGGCAAGGTCACGATGAAGTGAGTGCTCTCTCGGGTGTTGGGATTCGGTTGCCCAAAGCAGGAGTGGTTGTTGTGAGGTGGCTAGCGGTGGGATGGTTCGGCAGAGAGGGGGGTGGATTGCAATGGTCGCCAAGGTGTCACATGAAAGAAGTTGATTTCTGAAATGTCTCAAAAGTCAACTTTCACGAGGGGGGTGGATTGCAATGGTCGCCCAGGTGTGACATGGACGGCCGCAATGCTGGTGCCTTGGACTAAGCTAGTAGCCCCCCCCTCTCAACTCCCTCCAAGAAACCCCCAACCCAACCCTCTCCCTCTCTTCCCCACCCCCCCCCCCCCCCCCCCACTTCTCCCCACCTCTATCGCATGTACGACTTAGAAAGGGCTTTCAAGTGGACGCTGCACTCGTTGTTGCAGAAGGACAGTGAAGGATGTTGAATCACTTCAGTTCATTTCTCACTGCTGATTGTGGGTTTGTCCTTCCGTGGTGCTGTGTCTGCAAGTGCAGGTTTACCAAGAACAAGGGCGATGGTGCGTCTGTGAAGGTTAATGCGAATGGCAACAACAACATTGTGTGGGCGTATGGAGATGGCACTGCTGTGTCCTCGCACACCAACCGGTAAGCTTCTCACCTTGCCGTGGGTCTGCTGTGTGTTCTTTCGCGTAGCTATCATATTGCACGCATGTTGAGATGGTCCATTCCATTGCGAAGCTGTTTATTATTGTTTGTTATGCATTGATTAATTCTCTCTCGCCCCGTTCTTGGTGGTCCTTGTGTGCAGTGGGAATGTGGTTGTGAATTTTGCATGTGGCTGTCCTCTTTTCAGAAACTGCTGAAGTAGCTGTATGAATTAGCTGAATTTTGCATGTGGCTGTCCTCTTTGCATGTGCTGAGGAACTTTCAACGCAATGACTTAGTGTTGGCATCTGCAGAGTTAGCTGTATGAGAAGTATTTGTACGAAATAGTATGACAATGATGGGGATATACCTACAGTTGTACAGTCGATGCTCACTGTTGGAAACATATAGTTCGCGCTTCTGATGTGTCGAGCACTACAACGTAAGCGAAGCGAACTACAACGAAGTAACAGCGAGTCAACCTAGGCGGTTGACAAAAAGACAACAGCAAGAAGTTAAGTGAAGGTCAAAGATTAGCGACCTACCCGCCGAAAAGTAGCGCGGCAGCAAGGACACATAACTGACTCGCTATTGAGAAGTTACCCAAGTCGTCGCTGTATCGAACCGCAACAGCAGTTACAGTTAGTTAAACCTTTCATATTCATTTGTAATCATATAAAGCTTTGCATATCTTTGCTATTATCAACTTATCTTGTTCTTGCTGCAATCAAAAGTTGATCGTCCCTAGGATCACCTCAGGAAGGTTCGCACACGACTGAGTAATGGTGGTGGGCCCTTGACCTCAATAGCAGAGTGGATGTAATACAAAGGTAATTGAAATAAATAATTGAGATAATTGAAACATGCAAGTACAAAGGTATAAATAAGAGTACAGGAAGGAATACGAATCGGCCTAGCTAGCCATAACTATAAGGGATACATTCCCTAATTACAGCGAAATCCAACCGTGCGGCTCCAGACAATTACGAAACTCTCCGGGAAAAATCATCGCCACTGCTCCTGCCTGATGCTGTCCGCCCGACGGTTCAGATCCTTTTCGTAACCGTACGACGCTTCGCGTCACTTCTGCCTTTTTGCCTTCATCCTTGGTAGTGTGTGCTTTGATTGCTGCGGTAAGGAGTGCACAGTGATGCTTCAATAATTACTATTTGTAACACGCCCCTTCACTCCTGGCCGTAGCGAGTCTTGACCCGCTTGACTACTCCGCTCAGTTCGGAGCAGTGCTAGTACTGCTGACGTGACAGCTTTTTCGTGAGAAAGTCAGCTGCCATGTCACTCGCCGGACAGTAGGTGAGGTCAACCTTGTCCTTTTTAACTTCGTCTTTGACGAAGAAGTACTGCAGCACGATGTGTTTGGTGCGGTTGATGAATCCAGGCTTGTTCGCGATCCTGATCGCGCTCTAGTTGTCACAGTGTAGGCAAAAATATGGCGAAACCGGAATTTTCGCCTCTTGCACCAGCTCCTGAAGGTAGAGGCCTTCGCGAACAGCTGCTACTGCTGCGATGAACTCGGCCTCCGTCGATGACAGGGCAACCAGCTCCTGTTTCTGCGAATTCCAGGAGATGGGGCCGCTGGGCTCAAGGCGGAAGAGGAAGCCTGTCCTGGACCGTCGATTGTCGGGGTCAGCGGCATGATCAGCGTCCACGTAGCCGATGAGGTTGAAGGACGAGGTTGGGATGGTGGAGTAGTAGAGCCCAACATTGGGCGTGGAGATGAAGAATTGAAGTGCCCGCTGAAGATCTAGCAGATTCTCAGCTGTTGGTTTGCGAGAGTACTGGGCCAACTGGCTCGCGATGTAGGAGAGATCGAGTCTGCAGCTGACAGAGGCGAAGAGTAAGCATCCCAGCAGATGCTGGTAGGTATGAAGCCCAACAGGGGACAGGGCTTTGTTGTCAGGCTTGTGGTTGGGTCCTGGAGTGCGGTAAAGGGTGGAGAGTGGTGCAAGTGCAATGTTGAAGCGCTTGCCAACTTCCTCTGCATACTTGGCTGCTGAAAGGTGAATGGCTTCTGGCGAGTAGGAGATGTTGAGCCCGAGGAACTGCTTCACATCGTGGTTGCAGGTAATATCGACGCGCACTGCGAGGTTCTTCTCGAACTGCTCAAGCAATTCGTTGCTTGACCCTGTGTACAGGAGGTCGTCGACGTAGACCGTGAGCAGAATGTAATCGCCGCGGAAATTGCAGCGATACATCCCGGGTGTCAGAAGAATTAACGAGAATGGATGAACTATGAAAGAGTTGGGTACAAGTACTAACCCTAATTAGGTTGTACCCCTTATGGGCTACCCCATTATAGCCTACACAAATGTAAGCACTATAACATTCTGACACACCCCCATAGGCAAAGTGGGGAAGAACAAGTGGTCACTGTTAGAATCCAGAGTGACTTAGGCTTAGGAGCCATGGCTCGAGTAGCTAGACATGAGTGTCAAGAGGAAAGTCGAGAAGGAGAATGTGTTTCACTATAGAAAGTGGAGTACAAATAGGGTAGGAAAGGTGGGTACACCACCAAGCAGGAAGTTAGGATAACTACACTAAGGCTAGAACTACATGCAGTTATAATATAATTCTGATATCCCCCCCTAACAGCATGCAAGAAGAGCCAAGTGCTAGACACAACCTGCAGGGGTACACCAAGCAGAACAAAGCAGCAACACTCAAGAGCAGTGACAACCAGTGCAATAGTGGCAGATACAGTTGCAGCAACCCTGCAGCCAAGGTAGAAGCAGCAGAAACAGGAGCGTGCGGCGGCAAGAGCGGCGGCACACCAGCAGTAGGTGCATGTGGCGGCAGGCCGCCTGGAGAGCAGGAGCGTGCGGCACAGCTGGGCTCAACGGCAGCACCTGCCGCACAACAGCAACAGAATGTCAAGACAAGTAAAGTGGCGACCGGGGCTGCAGCTGGAGGTACCACGGGAGCAGAGGGTGGCAGTTGCAGATGAGGGGGGGGGGGGGGGGGGCTGCTTCGTCCGCCACACTCTGTCGTCCCCCTTAACCGCTCTCATCCCCCCTACACCTCTCTCCCCCCCCCCCCCCTACACCTCTCTCCCCCCCCCCCCCCTTTCACACAGCAACATGTGCAGCAGTGGGAGAGAGAGGAGGAGAGGCAGCAGCAGGTCACCCACACCCGCCACCCCCATACCCTCCCCCCACTGCTGCACCTGCAGCAGGGGATAGAGGAGAAGGGGGGGGGGGGGCGGGGGGGGGGGCTGGTGCTGCAGATCCCCTCCCCCCCACTGCTGCACCCGCAGCAGGGGGAGGTAGGAGAAGGGGGGGGGGGCGGGGGGGGGCTGGTGCTGCAGATCCCCTCCCCCCCACTGCTGCACCAGCAGCAGGGGGAGGTAGGAGAAGGGGGGGGGGGGGGGGGGGAGGGGGGGGGGGGGGCTGGTGCTGCAGATCCCCTCCCCCCCACTGCCGCTCCACAATCCTTCACCCCCCAGGGATGTAGGAGCAAGGGGGGGCGGGGGGGGCTGGTGCTGCAGATCCCCTCCTGCCTCCCCCTGAACTTCCAAGCTCCCCCCCCTCTCCCAACACAAGGTGCGGCAGGGAGAGAGAGGGGAGGAGGCACGGCGGCAGCTGCTGCTGCTGAGGCACATCCGCCACCCCCTCACACCCTCTCCCCCCCGTCCCCATGGAGGGGGGGGAGGGGGGGGAGGGGGGGGAGGGGGGCGGGGGCGGAGCTGCGCGTGCGACTGCAGGGCACGCGGGCAGGAAGAACCCCCTCTTGCCACCCCCTTACCCACCATGATGCGACAGGGCACCGGGGCCGCGGCTAGGGGTGACAGGTCGCGAGGGTCCATAGCTAGGGGCAACGGGGCGACGGGTCGACTGGGCAGGTACGGGACGGGACGCTGGACGCGGAACGGGGCCGGGCGCGGGCTAGGTACGGGGCCGGGCGCTGGGCTAGGGACGGGACCGGGCGTGGGGCTAGGTACGGGGCCGGGCGCAGGCTAGGTACGGGGCTGGGCGCTGGGCTAGGGACGGGGCCGGGCGCTGGGCAGGTACGGGGCCTGGCGCAGGACTAGGTACGGGGCCGTGCGTGGGGCTAGGTACGGGGCCGGGCGCAGGCTAGGTACGGGGCCGGGCGCTGGGCTAGGGACGGGGCCGGGCGCTGGGCAGGTACGGGGCCGGGCGCGGGGCTAGGTACGGGGCCGTGCGTGGGGCTAGGTACGGGGCCGGGCGCAGGCTAGGTACGGGGCCGGGCGCTGGGCTAGGGACGGGGCCGGGCGCTGGGCAGGTACGGGGCCGGGCGCTGGGCGCGGAACGAGGCCGGGCGCGGGGCTAGTTACGGGGCAGAGCGCGGGTTAGGTACGGGGCCGGGCGCTGGGCTAGGGATGGGGCCAGGCGCTGGGGTCGACGGGCCGCGGGCTAGGTACGGGGCCAGGC